TTCCCTTTCACCTCACCAACCGGAAGGAGTGTTTGAGGGCCAAAGGGGCACGTGCTCGTACGTTTGTTTCTCTCCACTTGCTTTCGTTTGGGAATTCAGGCTCTGTAAAACGCTGTCTTGCTCCCGAGGTGACCCAAAGTTGCGTTTTAACCGCTTATCTCTCTTCAGGGTAAAGTTCGCGTTGCACCACCGCTGTTGTTTCATTTCCGTATGACCTGTAGCCCGTCAAGCATACCTCTCTCTACTCGTGGCCTTGGATTTTGTTCACACCTCTGTCCTTGTAAGACTTTTGGTGCGTTTTTTGGGACATCAGCATTGTTCAGATACACAAGCTGTAACTACAACCGGTGTGTATATACGTAGAGCACGTACAGCCTGCTGTTGTACCGCGTAAAAGTCCGTTGTCTCAAACATTAAAGCGCAGTATTATCCTTTGGAGTGGGAGTCTCCTTGGTGACTTGGAGGCATCACACGAGGAAGTCGGGGGGGCTCCCTGGCCGGGGGTTGTTTCTGTGCTAGCAGGAGCTCCAAGCCTGCAGTGAGATGTTGGGCTGCTCCTCTGGGACAGCGGTTGCTCTTGTCCCCAGATGAGTCGCCCGTTGTTGACTGGGCAGCAAAAACCTCCCAGGATTTGGTGTTGCCGCCTTCTTCCTCATCCTCAGTGCCAGAGGAATCGACAACGAATACGTTGGGGCAGGGAAAGCAGGAGGCAGTGGCTGCTCCGGAGCGACTGGTGCTTGCAGCCAGACCCCTGCGGGCTCCATTCTGGATGCCTTCTCCCACTTTTCTGAGGGAATACCTGGTTCCTGGCCAAACACCCAAATCCCCTGAACAGCAGCCGTGATGCAGGTGGGATGAGATGAAGCTGAAGTCTTTGCGCTTCATCTTGCTTGGGCCGCCCCGCTGCGTCCCACGTACAGCGACGAGCTCCGCTTGTGCCGGCAGCGGCTCCCCTGCTCCGGCAGCGTGGGCAGGCGTCTCAGGGACGCTGCCTCCCTGCTCTCCTCCCAGGATGCGGCCGCTGCTGAGATCCAGGGGGAAAACTAAATATATTTTAAAATGTGCAGATCCCAGATCTGCGCTCTCCACGAGGAATGGAGAGGAAAAAGAAGAATCATAGAATCATAGAATGGTTTGGGTTGGAAGGGACCTTAAAGATCATCTAGTTCCAACCCCCCTGCCATGGGCAGGGACACCTTCCACTAGACCAGGTTGCTCCAAGCCTCATCCAGCCTGGCCTTGGACACTTCCAGGGATGGGGCATCCACAGCTTCTCTGGGCAACCTGTCCCAGTGCTCCCCACCCTCTCTGGGAAGAATTTCTTCCTGATATCTAATCTAAACCTCCCTGATTTCAATTTGTACCCATTACCCCTTGTCCTATCACTACAGGCTCTTGTAAAAAGTCCTCTCCCAGTACCCTTGTAGCCCCTTCAGATATTGGAAAGCTGCAATGAGGTCTCCTCGGAGCCTCCTCTTCTCCAGGCTGAACAAGCCCAATTCTTGCAGCCTTTCGTCATAGCAGAGGTGCTCCAGCCCTCGGAGCATCTTCGTGGCCTCCTCTGGACTCGCTCCAAGGGGTCAATATCCTTCTGATACTGAGGGCTCCACAGCTGGACGCAGCACTCCAAGAAATTAAATTACTTAAGAAATTAAATGCCTCTATGACAATTAACTCCATCCCAGCCCAAACCAGCGCAGCTTCGTTAATCAACTACCTACGTGTCTGTGCCAAGCACGAGGTAAACCCGGCCAGGGTGAGGAAAAGGCAAGCCGAGGGGTTGTTGGGCTGCAGGCAGGGCTGGGGAATGTGCTGCTACAGCGTGGCTTTGTGGGAGAGGGCTGTGGCAGTCGGGAACGGAGAGGGAGTAAGGAATGAAAGCCCATTCCAGCCCTTCGTGGGTTGTTTATTTTCCTAAATGGTCTGTTCTATTTGGAAATAAACCCCCTAGGAAGCCCCAGGAGCATTGTCGGGAATTGTCTTTGTCGTGAAGCTGAGTTTACGTCTGTCTTTCTCACGGGTGTATATTAAAGCTGGTGACTGTGGTGGGAAATGACTTGTTTGCCAAAACAGGCCCTTCTGCAAGAAATTTTCCTGCCGTTTTTTTCTTTTTTTTTAGGTGTGGGATTGGGAAGGAGCCTCCCTGGTTTTGTGATCGTGGGAAAATCTGTTTTCATTGGGGCGAAAAAATACTCAGCTTGAAAGTGTTTAGAGCTCAATAAACCCACCCAGAAGGGAGCAATAGGCACCCAATTTTGTTAAAGAACCTCAGGGTGTTACGGAGGTGACGGCACCCCGTCCCTGACATCTCCCAAGGTCCCACCTGCTTTGTCACACGCTCATTTCCCGATACCCTCTGATGGCACGCGTTGCTTCTCAGTCCTTTTTTCTCGAGTCCCCCACATAAGCAGCTCCTTGTGGGTTTTTCTATCCCTGTGGTTCTTCTCCCCTTGCATTCTGCCTCCAGGGGCAGGTTTATCTTTGCGTCAGGCAGCTTTTCCCAGCTAGGAGCCCTAGGAATTGATGATCCTGCTGATCTCACAGTGCCGAGAAGTGGCTGTGGCTCCCTTGTGCTGTGAATTCCCTACGGAGACCTGGCTGGTGGGTCGCTTGCTCTGCCAGTGCGTCCCAGCAGTCCCCGATGTGGGAGCTTGCTGGAGCAGGGAATGCCTTTCCCAGAGACTCCTGCTTAGCTGCATCGCCTGTGACTGGGCCTCACGCCGCCTTCGTGCTCCCAAGGCTTTTATGTTCTCCTTTGTAAAGCGCAAATCCCAAAACTTCCTCAAACCCTGCTGCGGGTCACCTGGTGCTGCTGCCCGCAGGCGTGAGCCCTGCCAGCCCACCCAGCCCATCCTCACAGCAGCTCATGCAAACACGGCCAGCCCTGTGCTTAGGCCTTTGGGAACGAGGAACGCCGGTCATC